AAACAAATATGAACTGACATTCAGTTTATGATTTCGTTGAGTGTCAGCTGCACATTCATCTTCTTTAATTACTTATAGATGATTTGGGTCCAAATGAGTAGCAGCGACAGCAGTGACATTCAAATTACAGTTGAAGCAGAAATGAAGATATCTTATTAGGTAGTGTATTTTAATGTTACTACGTATTTTTATTGAAATGTGGGTTTCCTTTATAGAAATAATATTGTGATAATTATTTGTAGTTTACCCATGATTATTTTTCATTTATTAAGTTTCTACTGTAAGAGTGTCCTGCAGAAATTAAATTTGCATAATTTTCCGCTCACGATTTTTAACAGATAAAATTAGTAAAAAAAGGGGGGAGCAAACACACAAGGAAATACGATAAACATCTAAGGTTTAATTTCGAAATAAATATAAATATTTGTAAACCTAAGCCATAAACTTGAATTATTAAAAATGCTTACTTTCAAAGAAGAGAAACTACAAATCTACTTTTCCAGCAAGTTTTAAAAGAGGATATACATTTCTGAAATTCAATATAATAGTTACACAGAATAAACAGATATGTGACCTTAAACACATTAAGAGTTTCCTTGTTTCAGATAAATAAAATATGAAAACTTCTCATCATAACAGTTACTTATCGGGTGCAAGTTAGCAAAACTGACATTTTTTTTTTTTAAATATCACCAAACTATCAATATTTATCATAAGTTGGCAAACATTATCAACACATCAAAAAAAAAATACACTTCAGAAATTTAAAATACTATTTTTTATTATTACATAAGAATTATATAATATGGAGTACAAAGTCCGAAATCCAGCCTAGTCGGGACTTCAGCGATTCCGGATTTGGGATTTTTCCGGATAATAGATCATCATTTTAAATCTGGTACGATAGCATGCAGAAATTATACAATTAAAAATATGAAATCATATTTTACGAAATAATGAACAATTATGATCTAATGGGTATCAAAATTTACAAAAGAAAGCTTAATATTTATTTATTTACTTTACTAAACATTTCTTTCAATGTAAGTTGTTTAAGATGCTTCCACAAAAAATTCAAAAAGTTCCTTTTTCTTTTTCTTGTGTCATAAACAGTGGACTTGCCAATGCCATACTCTTCACATAATTTTGAGACAGAAGATATGCCTTTATCCATTTTTTGCAGCAATTCTACTTTTTGTTTAATGGACATCGAATCATGGTTTCACTTTGTAGATTCTTTGGCAACTCCAGAATTGGAAACTCTTTTCGACATAATCGAAAGTTCAAGCTTAGTTTTTATAAAATTGCCGTAATAACAGTATGCAAAAAAATAATAAGCTGGATCAAATTAGAAGATCAGGGAGCAGCGTAGTCTGCTACATTAACTGAAATGCTTTAGAATCAGTAAAGATAATTTTAGCCTAACTTAATAGCATTCGTTATACATTATTGGCTGTGTATCACAAGATTGGCGACAAAAGCCAAGTTGTTTCGCTAAATTTTGTCTTGCTCTTATTGTGTAAGTTATTTTTACTATACCTACATTTATTTCTTGCATATGCTTCAAACTAATCCAAGTCCTGAATAAATAAACTCCCACATATACTTAAGGCATTATCTAGGGCTGGCGCTCGATACTGCCTGATACAGTCTCTTCGGGTCCTAAATTCTGCTACAAAGCACTTTCCTAAGTTCTAAATTTTCACAGTGCCTAAATTTTGGATCCCAGTGCTTTCCCTAAATCATAAATACTTCTCATCCCTTAATTTTGCCGTTCAGTGCTTCTCCAAATTCCAAAAATTTTGTCTTGCTTAAATTCTGCCATCCGATGCCGACATATTCTGCCGCCGCTTCTGGGTTTTATGGTGAATAACATATCAGTTATTTTTAATTAAAACAGCACTAAATGTAATCTTTTGGTCTATGAGCTTCATTAATGGAATCTATTTTTAGCAATGATATGAAGAAATATTTGTTGAATTTTTCCTCGTCAACATTTCTTACAGCATTTAAAAATCTATAATCATCGCCAAGCGTAACATTAGCATAAAAGGTTGCCATACTCTTGTTATTCAATTACTAAGTTTAGACATCACAGCATGACTTATTACTGAAGCTGTCATGTATTGATAAACATGCGGTGATGAAAGCAAAATATAATAAATAACGACTCTCCAGGTCGGCATCAGGGATATAAAATAGGTGAATGTTTCGGGTTTGAGATGTATGCCAAGTAGATACTCAGCTACGGAGCCAAATTATTAATCTCACAAATTTATGCTTACATGATTGTTTTTTCATAATGAGAAATTTTATTTAGTGCCTAAGTGAAATGAAGAATCGGAATTTTTAGATGAAAATCTCCACATGTTTTATTATGGAAGAAAAAATCAAATGTGCATGTGTAAAGCATTAATTAAAAAAAAAAAAATGTTGTGGCTTTGAGGTCCAGATTTTAGATCATTCCGGATAATGGACGTATGGATTTCGGACTTTGCACTGTATTAAAAAATTAAGCATTACATATTTTTTGAAATCCTTCTGTAATTTTTTAGTGCTGTTGTTCTCATGAACTAAGTGATCGGTTCTCGCTTTTAAAAAAATCAGAGAATTGGTAAACTCGGCAACACACATAATCTTGGTACTTTGCATAGTTATCTACAAAACACATCTCATTGTCATACACAGAACATTCAACCTTATCCGCAATTAAACCCATTACCATGCATACTAAACGGACACTTTTTCCTTTTGTTCCAAGCCATAAAATAAACTAAAATGCATCTTTCAGTCATGGTTACAGTCGTCAAAGATTTTTACTGATCTTTTACTGACAACCAAGCACTCCCAAATAATAAAATATGGATTCTACTTTTGTTGCTTAAAAACATGAAATTTTAAAAATAACCTATAGCATTCAAAAACAGACAACACATATAACCAAGAGAAAAATATCTCATTATGCCACTGATTTAGACTATAAAAAATAAAGGTTGCAAGAATAAAATCATTACGTATAATGAAGAAAGGTTACTGGACTAAAATAATTATCTAGCAAGGTAATTACGGTTAGTCTATATTTTAGGGGGCTTCTTGGATTATTGCCGAAAGGCTTCATTTGTTGCCGATTGTTGTTTCATTTATGGTAACCTGAGTAGCTGAATGCTATGGAAACCCTATTATGACACAACTAGTTGTGTGATTGCGGTGAATTTGACTGATGGGAAAATATTTGCAAGGGCTTATTTCTGCATTGGATGTCAGTTAGGAAGTACGTAGCTTATTTTGTGCTACACACTGTTAAATGGCTGTATGTAATGAGATTAATATGAAGTTTCCGTATGATTTGGAACGAAAGGGAGAAAAAAAACATTAATTGACTGGTGTGTAAATGAAGGTTTACTTAGTAGTCATTATAAGTGCCCTGTTTGTACAAAAGAAATGCGTATAGTTGAACGTAAAGATCATTCAGATGGCTTTGAATGGGTTTGTCACAAGAAAGGTTAATGCAAGAAATGTTATCGACACTCCGGCACTACAGAGGATATTTTTCACTCTTTATTTTTGTGAATTTATGTGGTGATGGCAGTATGCATATTCTAGCTCAGTTAAAGAATTCTGTGTGCCACAGACTGAAGACACAGAAATGTCTAAATATCGTTTAAATTGATATTTCCTTTTTGTATTACATATATGCGATAACATGTACTTCCTTTTTTATGTTATTTCATTGTGTGATTCAAAATGCAGTTTATCGAGCTTCGACTAGCTACAAATTTTGTTCAATTTTGGCGATGAGTAATTTTGTTTTAACATTATATGATGTCATCATTCTCCCAATTTTTTTTTAAGTGAAAATAGATAGATATGCACATGTACACCAAGTTTGTGCAATTCTCTGACTTGTTATTTTGGTTTTGTGTAGGGACCATCTTGAAATTGTGCCTTGCTGGCCAATCGCCAATTTTTTCCAAGGGGCACCCTGAAATATATTTTCACCATAATTATTAATTTGTCACATTTGATATACACTACTTCACTTTAGCTCTTCTCATAAACAGAAATCAAATCAGCCACTGAATACATGAAAATAAAGAAACTGACACTGATGATAACAAACATTTGAACCAGTTCTTCAATCCAACAAAATTTAGAGCTACAAGAACAAAGAAACTAAACAAGCATAATTTCATTTAAAAAAAAAAAAAGAGAGAGAGAGAGAGCCCTTACACACTTTCATTTTTTCAAAGTGTGACAAGTGTTATCCTAAGTTCATGAAAATTATAGAGATTTTTTTTACACTCCCTAACCACAATGTGAATATCCAAAGACTGCTCTTTTAATTTAAAAGCACTTATGTAAAGACAGGAACTGTTTGCTGTAGAGTCAGTGAAAAGATTCACTGCAATGAAAGACAATTTTTTGACATTTTAGATGTACAGTATTCCAGTCTTACTTGTTAAAACACATGAATATTTTACATCAAATTAAAAAAAAAAAAAAAACTTGCGCTAGTTAAATGAATTTGATTAATTAATTATTATTTGATTAAACAGAGAAGTTACTGCTATAGTTTTTACGTATTTCTATACAATTAAGAAATAGGCATAAAAATCTGCAGCATAATAAACATTTCATTTTAACTATATGAAGCAAAACAACTTTTGCTCATGATCAAATTGGTAAGATGTTATTTAGGGTTTGGAAGGCTCTGACCAGTATAATATCTTCATTTTTATATTTCACATATTATAATCCTACACATGCAACTCGGAAAATCCCATCTCTTGTTTTAACAGAAATTACCCGTGGAAGGCTATGAAGAAGTTAAAGCTTTAGAGGGTTATTAATTACTAGAACTTAGCTTAAATGATTTTTTACATAAAATAATAATATAATAACAGGTTATATAAAATTTACTAATCAAATCAAATATAACCCTTCAAATTCTCTAGAGCTAAAAACTATCAGTTTCAAAATCATCAAAAGATACTACTTACCCTATAGGTTGATAAAGGTCAGAAAGTATTTCAAAACCTTGAACTTTCAAAAGGATAACACACCCAGTAGAACTCTCAGAATTAGCTAGATGTCATGTGAATAATTTAACATCAATCGCCAATAAAAGTTCTGTTCTTGCACTGAGCTGGTGCAGAAATTCCAACAGTTTTCTCATTATTAAGTTGCAGTTTGAAGAATGGAAAGCATTAGTTGAGTTACTTAAATAGATACAGCATGTGAGGGCTCCATCCCAACTAGGCAGGCATGCAAAACAAAGAAAAGTTTAAACTACATTTAAAATTTAATTGCTAATTAAAACATTTAAGATTTCACAAAGTAAATAATCAATTAAATATGCTTAAAAGATTTGAAACACATAAAAGATTAAATTGTTTTTCTTTTTATTATATGCCAATTTTCAGAGCAGCATAATACAATAATGCAAATAACGAAAAGAAAACACCTTGCTCTGGATCTTAAATTAACCTTCTTCCTGTCTGTTACAAATACTTAACTTTTTACAAATGAATTTTAAGACATCACATTCACAAGAAAAAAAAGAGATCTATAATTTTTTTTACCACAATTCTTTTTGTTAGTTTGGTACATTTATCTTTACCATTTTGGGCAACACTTAGTTTCTTCATTGCATGCGGGCTCTGGATGTTGCTAGTGTAATGTTGTGTACATGTTGTTAAGTTTCAATCAAAAATGTGAAAAGAAGATACATTTCTTAATTTTCAACTTGCTTCTTGATATGATAGCAGTTTATTTAACATGGTAGCAGTTCTCGTAGTTTGTGAATATGAATGAATATTTCAGTATTTATAATTTATTTTAAAAGTTGCCGGTACTAGTGTAAAAATGGCATGTGCAGTGATATCAGGATACTGCTTTTTGATGGCTCAGACTATATTAATTGGAAAGTGCGTATGATGAAATTTCTCCAATTTAAAAAATGTAAAGATGTGGTTCAGCCAAAAGTCAGCGAAAACGATGACATGGAAAAATGGGAGGAAAAGGATATCCAAGCTACAAATTATATTTTTGGCGGCATAACAAACAAGCAATTGGAACACATTCACAAGTGTAAGACTGCATTTGATATAATTACAAAATCTGATGCAATGTATTTAAAAACTTCAACATCTCTGCAAACTGTTTGTCAAAATAACTTAGAATGTGTAAAACTGAAGAATTATCCTGATGTAAATATATATTTCAATGATTTTGAGAAGTATGTGAACAAGCTGAAACATGCTGGTGCCACCATGATGGAACAGGAAAAATTGAACTATATTACAGTCTAGTATTACCTTCCAATTACAGTCACATTGGTGACTTAACAGATATATTACCAGAGAAGGATAGAACAGTCGATTACCTAAAGAGCAAAATAAAAATTACTTGAAGAGAAAAATCATTATGAAGATTGTGTACCAGCAGAAAAATCAAATGCGTTCAAAAGTGAAACAAGCAAATTGGGTCCACAGGGGAATTTCTGTTATGACTGCAGAAAACCTGGTCACATTAAAAAGAATTGTTGGCATGTCCATCAAGGGAACAATTATCGTGGTAATGGCTCCACTAATTATCGTGGTCAAAGTGCTTCAAACAATTAAGAATGTAGTCATGGTTTTAGTAGACATTGTAGATGGAGAGCATACTCTAACCACAGAATAAACACTCATCAAGGTAATAGTTTCACACCATTATTACTGAAAGTAACATGTCAAGTTTCAGTGCAAATACTGTGACAAATAAAAATGAAATCAATTGGTTACTGGATAGCAGCTGCACAGACCATATCATAAACAGTGATGAATATTTTGAAGAGCAAGTCACTTTGAAGGATCCTATTCAAATGAAAGTCAATGACGGAAGGATTTTGAAAGCTACAAAGATTGGCAATATAATAGTTTCTTTTATGGTATATAACTCTGAATCTATCGTAACATTGAAAAACATATTTTATGTAAAAGAAATTAAAGTAAATTTATTAAGTTATTCAAAGATTATTGATAGTCATAAAATAGTTTCAAAAGAAAAGTTCTCTAAAATCTATGATGTCAATGATTCATTAGTAGAAACAGCAAAGAAAGAAGAAAGATTATAAAGTCAAAAGTCGTTAATTCGGCCACCCACAATCCGGAATGATCTATAATCCGGACCTCAAAGCTACAAACTGTCTGCGCATGCATCGTGTTGACACATGCGCATAGGCGTTTACGCGTGCGCGCAAGACCTTTACGGCTGCGAATATGAGTGTGGGCATGCGCATAATAGTTTACACATGCGCGTTTAGTGTATAACGGACGGTATAAGTTAAGCTAAAATTATCTAATTCAGTTAATATTGCAGATTGCGTTGTTCCTTAATCTTCGAATTGGATCCGGCTTATTATTTTTTTGCAGACTGTTAGAACAATTTTATAAAAGTAAGCTTGAACTTTCGATTATGTCAAATAGAATTTCCGATATATATTTACTAATATGTAAAGGATCTACAAAGCGAAAGTATGTTTCGAAATCCGAAATCTGTTTATTAATTTCACGCTGCTCTGCGGCCGGGAAGGGGGGCGGGGCGCCGCAGCGCGCAATAAATTGGAAGTTGATCTCACTTTCCTTATCTTCAGGGCAGATGTTTTTATTTTATTTGGCTTATAATTCCTTACTAAATGTAGTATTTCATCTCGATGTACTCTGTCTTTGATATGATTTAAATCAAGTTCCTCGTCATTATAATTCGCTTCCGATAGTGAAGAAAGTGACACAGAGGTTATTGAAAACGAAAATATTTCGATTGACAAATTAGTCGGTAGACACAGCAATTATAGGACTTGAACAGCGGAACTTTGTAACTGAACAAGAAATTATGTCTGTTTATAGAATTAAAGAGAATGTATTATCACGTAAAAAACAAAGCAACTTAAACAACTTACATTGACAGAAATGTTTAATAAAGTAAACAAATAAATATTAAGCTTTTTTTTTTGGAAATTTTGATAACCTTTAGATCATAATTGTTCTTTATTTCATAAATTACGATTTCATATTTTTAATTTTATAATTTCTGCATGCCATCTTACCAGATTTAAACTGATGATCTATAATCCGGAAAATCGATAATCCGGAATCGCCAAAGTCCCGAAAAGTCTGGATTAACGACTTTTGACTGTATAAAGTAAAGAGTTATGTTAAAAAGAGTAAAATATTTGCAAATTTGACCAACAATAAGTTAATGTTAAAAGAAAAATTCCACTGTTCACTTGGACATGTAAATTTTAAATACGTGGATATTATAAAGATCAATTATTAGAAGGAATCCTTAAAGAAATAGAAACAGAATATATGAAGTGTGCCATATGGATTGAAAGTAAATGGCACAATTTACCATTCAAGAATAACAGAAGAAATGCAGAAGATATTCTGGATATTATACATGCAGACGGAAATGGAAATCGCAGAACAAGTGGATGTAATGGTGAGAAATACTTTGTGAGTTTTATTGATGATTATAGCAATTGGCAAAAATTTATTATATCTAAGGATCAAGTCTAAGATTTGCAAGCAAAAAAGGTATCAAGATAAAGTCATGTACATGAATTAAATGGTACTGCTGAGCGTTACAACAGAACTACAATGGATATGACAAGATGTCTTTTAGCTGAAGCAAAAGCTGACAGACATTACTGTCCTGAAGTGATTAAAGCAGCTGATTTGAAAAACAGGACATTAACAAATACTGTTGTAAAGAAGACACCATATGAAATATTTTTTAATAGGAAACTATCTGCAAATGAATTAAAATTATATGGAAGTAGAGCGTATGTAAGAATACCAGAAAAAAAGAGAAAGTCAAAGTGGGATAAAAATGCTGAATTTGGAATTTTACTTTGATATACAGAAGTTGGATATAGAGTTTTGATTATTAACAGAATAACAGTTGCCAGGCATGTTGACATCATTGAAAAAGACATGTGTGTAGGTTGTGATGATGAATATGAGAAAGATGATACAAATAACAAGAATGAACCTCAAGAATTGTCATATGAATCGAGTAATGATAACTCCAAGGACAGTGTGATAAATGAGGATGAAACAAACAGTGGAATGAGACCAAGAATGCAAATCAAACCACCAGTTCGATTTGATTATTTTAATTATGGCAAAGCACACGAGGGCTATCTGCCTAAAGGGAGGGATGCCTTCGTGGAGGTCTTTCTAAGGGAAACTGGCTCGTATAAACGTTATACATGGGAAAAACCACGAAAACGCCCATGCAGCCAGCCCATTCGCGGGATTCGAACCTCGGACCAAACTACCAGTGTTCAGCGACTTTACTGCTCGGCCGCTGGTGAGCTCGATTTGATGAAGAATTCTGGTACTACTGTGTTAGTGCAAATTTTTGCGATGCTACAGTTCCAGGTAACTTTGAGGAGGTGAGAACATGCAGCGAGGCTAGCACATTGGAAAGAGGCAATGGACAGTGAAATGAACAGTCTTGTCAAAAACAACACTTGAACACTAATGACTAAACCTGAGGATAAAGGAATTCTAGATGTCAAGTGGGTATTCAAAAGAAAACCAGGTAATGTTTTTAAAGCTAGATTCCAGTGAAAATTCCAGCATCCGTGAGGTTTCCAAGCAAAAATGACAGTATTGAGGATACTTACTCCCCTGTCATTAAGATGCAAACCTTAAAATTGTCACTTTGATATTCTTGTCAGTATAATTTAAATATTCATCAAATGGATGTTGAAACTGCTTTTTTAAATGGTTACGTTGTATCTAAGGTTTATGTTAAACAACCACAAGGCTATAATGATAATTCTAATAGAGTGTATAAATTAAAGAAAGCACTATATGGGTTGAAAGAAAGCCCTTGTGCTTGGTATGAGTGTTTTAATGAGTATATTGAGAGTCTAAAACAGTGGTGGCGAACCTTTTTGAAGCCACGTGCCCAAAACCTTTTTTGGGGAGAACTGCCCCAAACCTCTTTGATTAAATCTCCATCAGAAAGCGGTTTACAATGTTTTGCCAGGCACAGTGAAATTTGAAAGCTGGCCATTGTTAGATGGTTTGTTTTATAAATATAATTGCAAAAGCCAACTTTCTGATAATTATACTTCCTCAGTTTCCATCAATAAACACCTTCTGCTCAGCTTCATCAAATTCGGCTACAATCTTGTGATTGTTGTTAATGTGCCGCCTGACACAGATGTACAACACACAACACTTTTGCACAAACATAA